GGGATGCACTGACCTCTCGCTGGAACCACCGGGAGCCAGAAGAGGTCCTTGGAGTGCTGAACAGAGAGATTTTGCTAATACTGAAGTACTAAACATTGGCATCAACACCAGTTTTGTATGGTTTGGAAGGTTGTCCTGTTCTCTTTTTTTTTTTTGTCTTGTAAGATTTGTTAACTGAAAACATAGAAATGGATGTTATTTTTTTTTCCTTTACAGAATGAGCTTTAGTGCCTATTACTGCTGCAGGTTGGCTCTGTAAGTTTTAAGGTACAGAAGTAAAACAATTTTTACAAATGGAAGTAACATTTACTTAGTATATTTCAAAGCTTTTTTTTTGTGTGTGTGTATATAATGTGTCTGATGTAATTTTTAATGAACTGGGCAATTTTATATTTTAAGAATCGCAAACTGCAGCGAGGTAACAGTAGCAAAGCACTACACTGAAACTCTAAACTTGTGAAGATAAATATGATTTGGGCTTAGTTCTGATTGCTTACAGCAGCTTAGAAATGTATGTATATAATACTGTGGCTAAGTGTAATAATCTCAGTGTTTAATTATGACTCTAATTCATAACGAAGCTGTACAATTTATTTGTGCAAGCAACACAAGGCTCCAAAATATGTATCAGCATTAGTAAATACTGTAGATTTTTATATATAAAATATATACACACTATTTTCTTATGTCATCTGCAACAGTTTTATAACTGTGTATCCTATTTTGATGTGACTGTATTTTTAACATGTTAAAAATAATAATAATAAAGCTTATGTTGTTTTGTCTTTATTCTTAGTTATTTGATTAGCTGCAGACTGGACTTTTTGTTCTTCTCAGCACAAATAATTGCTTCTCATAAATGAATCATGTATATATATGATGTATGTTCCATTTAATTTGTCCTTGTTTATTTTTAGACTAAGCAATATGGATACAATCTATATAGTGCCTTTGCATTATTACAGAGGCAGCAAGATTATTGATTATAGTTTATTACACTGCCAAAACTTAACCCATCATTTACAAAATTTGGGAGCATAAACTGTGATCATAGTTCTCTGGGTTTGTTCTAATAATCTCACCCAATACCAGTTTAAAAGAGAATTATTGGCATGAGGGATTTGCAGAGTTGCATTGATCAAAGTGCATAATGATAGTCTGAGTGCAGCTGCTGTGTCTCTCACATTTGGAGGATGGCATAGAGGGGTTGTTAAAAAACTGCCCTGTGTCATCTGTTTGTAGTGTGTCGTGGTTTAACCCCAGCAGCAGCCAAGAACCACGCAGCCTCTCACTCACTCCCCCACCAATGGGATGGGGGAGTGAATCAGAAGGGTAAAAGCTACAAAAACTCATGGGCTGAGATAAAGACAGTTTAATAGAGAAAGCGAAAGCTGCACACACAAGCGAAGCAAAACAAGGAATTAATTCACTGCTTCCCACAGACAGGAGGTGTTCAGCCATCTCCAGGAGAGCAGGGCCCATCATGCGTAACGGTTCCTTGGGAAGACAGACGCCATCACTCCAGATGTCCCCCCTTCCTCCTTCTTCCTCCCACCTTATATACTGAGCATGATGTCCTATGGTATGGAATATCCCTTTGGTCAGTTTGGGTCACTTGTCCCAGCTGTGTCTCCTCCCAATCTCCCATGCACCCCCAACGTCCTTGCCAGTGTGGCAGTATGGAAAGCAGCAAAGGCCTTGACTCTGTGTAAGCTCTTCTCAGCAATATCAAAAACATCTCTGCATTATCAACTCTGTGTTCTGCACAAAACCCAAACATAGCCCCATACTAGCCACTGTGAAGAAAGTTAACTCTACTTATCTCAATTTAACTGGACAAACCAAACGAAAGGTGGAGCCAGATTCAAATCTGTCATTGGTAGCAGTGACAAAAACCTGTTTGATGCAGAGTGAAGTGAGACACAGCTGTGCCAGGGCCTTGCTGGTAGAGGGAATCATCTCAGTGTCATGGATTAGATATCCTCATAAGAGCTTTTCTGTCACTGTTTTCTTTGATCTGAAAACAGTGAAGCAGTAAGGAGCAGCATAAAATACTTGAGAGCTCTTCTTTCTATGGTTTCATAATTTTCCAAAATCTGTCTGCTTCGAGCTGTATAAACTGTAGGTTTCTTGTCCAGGTCGGTTGTCATGGCTCTGCTTGTGGGTAGTGAGACAAACTTGGGGTACGAGGGTGGAGAAACAACACAGAAGACTTAGTGAAGGAGAGATATCTAACTTCTGTATGGCAAAAATTAAGTGAAATTAAATTAATTACTATTTAAGAGGAAAAGGAAATCACTGGAGTATATGCCATGGTCTTCTGTGGTTGCTTTTCCTTCCCTTTCCTTCTGATGCTGTTCTAGGTTAAATCTAAAAACTTCAGTGTTGGACTGAAGCACTTCAGTCTTCTGCAGTACAGATTGTTGTGGCTGTGGAAGAAAGACAGGAAGGACTGTGGTATCACTGGTACTCCTAACCCTTTTGGTGAGTGGGATGTGGTACATGGTCAAGCTGCTTTTCTCTGTGATCAAGCCATGTTACTCATTCACTGCCAGTGCAGACAGAAAACATCCCTGCTCCCTTCTCATCTGGCCCAGGGGAAGATTATTTTCTGACCCCAGATTTGGTGATGAATTTGAATCTAAACATCACTCACTTGGGCAGCTAAGGAAGAGAATTTGACCTTAGGAAAATGATCTTGCCTTTTTCCTGTCCCCAGATCCATTTGTGGCCAGTCTGTACTGCTTCAGGGAAGGAGACAGAGGAAAGAGAAAACCTGTTTAGCCAGAAGTCTATTAAGGAGACTATTCCCTCCTAATCCTGCTGATGACAACCTAAAGCCTTAAAGCATGATATTGCTTGCAGTTGTTTCAAAATGGTTAGACCTGTGTGGACAATCTTGTTTCTCCCAGGGCCACGACATGCGTGAATGTTGGTTACCTCCATAATATCTGACAGCAGGATTAGTCCCTTCTTGTAAAAGTAACTGCTATATCCTCACTGCCAGTCAAAGTTTCAACACAAACAATAAGGGATTTTTAGAAATCTTGGAGGTTGCTGAAGTGAAATATCTTCTTGCTAGTCAAAGATACACCTATGTAACAAACCACAGAGTAATTCCAAAATTTGATGCAAAGAGTAAACAACACTGAAATGTCAAAAGACAGAACAGCCTTACAGTGTGGGGAAGCAAATCCAAAGCTTCCCTGAGGTACATACACATTTTCCAGGGAGATTTCTTTCAAGAATCCTATCCTGAAATTCGCATCATCCTCAATATGACTTAGAAATGGACTTGCAAATTGCAGACTTTTTTTTTAATCTCCCCCTTGGGTGGCATTACCCTGCATGCACAAAGAAGAATACTGTTTAAAATCCGCCATCCAACGCCCACCGTTTCACTTCCAGCAGAGAACATTCTGCTTTCAGTACTTCAGCGAGAGGAAAATATCATCTTTTCTTCTAGTCCTTTAAATACTGCATTTCTGTAAAGTTCTGTAAACGTAGCATAGTTACAGTTAAACAGCCACTTAACCAAGTGTGGTTCAGGCTCCTCTTTAGATGGCAAAAAGCTACCGCAGAGTTTGCTGCAGGTTGGGTTTTTTTTTTCTTGTGGGCAATAT